CCGCAAACGTCCAGCAGAGGTCCTGTTAGATTGTCTGAGCCGTTCCAAACCTCATTTTGTCAGTTGAAATGAGGCAGCAGCAAGTAATCTCAGCTAAAATCTATAAGCTAAAATCTGGCAAGTAATATCAGCTAAAATCTATAAGCTAAAATCTTCTCAATGCTCCCGCCAAGCTAGGTTTTTGTGATGGTCACCGAATAAGGATGTGATAGGCTGACACATGCACTTTTGCTTTTATTTGAAAATCATCTTGCTTGTAGAATTTGCTGTCGAAAATCAGTTCTTGACATAGATATTGTACAGTTAATGATTTCTGTGAATAAAGGCAGTCGATGAGTCGAAAGTAGTTGTAGGAAAAAGAGTAAAGCAAGGCTCAGCAGAGCTCATACACAAATGACTCTTCCGCTCGCGAAATCTGCAAATTCAGAATTGGAAAAGGCAATCTGTGCGCACAAAAGCGAGGCAAAAACTATCCTTCTTTCATTAGCTCAAAATGGCCTCCAGGTCTAAAAATTGTAAGGACTGTGGCGCACAAGATAAAGTCCTTAAAGGGGAGCAGGAGAATGTCAAAAAAAAAACAGTTTGAAAGAAAACACTGCAAAATGCTCGCAATTCTGTTCCTCTACCACAGCGTTTTCCGTTAGGCATGTTATCCATTGGCCAAAAGCTCTCACTCCAGAGAAATAACCCTATCGAAAAAAGTTGAATTTTAAGAATTTACGATATTTTGAACTTGAAAATAAAAGGACAGGACTTATGCAGCAACCTGACACATGATATTGATAATAGAGGCTTTTCATCTCCTATTTTCAGATAAAGTGTTTCTTCCTCGTATTTGGATTGGTTTATTTTTTGGAAGCTATTGGTGGATTTTACATGACCAGGTTTGTGCTACTGAGAGAACGTGTTGAAAAATATTCAGCTTTTTTTCAAACATACTTCGGGTGCTTTGCCCCACTGTATTGAGCACCTTTTTCACGACGAGGAATGTTCGATGACTTTTGAACTTTCAGGCTTCCTCATTGGTGTATTGGTTGAGAGAGAGCCTTTTTCCATTAAAAAAACACTTTCAGTGCTATCGTCTTCATAGAAAAACAGTTCCAAATACCTTCCCGACTTAGTGGCACGATGGTCTCTGCTGGGGATTTTGCTTACATTCCCGTAGTTATTTTCACTAGCTATTTTGGTGGAAAAGTAAGCTTCTTTTAATGTTTGCCCTGTATATTCTCCAACCCTGGCTATGGCATTCTGAAAGATAGAAAGAAGACAGGTTTACTGCTCCAGCAAACGTGATACCTTTTAGGGGAATCGCGCCCGTTGGATTGGTGGTGGTTGTATATTGATAGCGATTGCTAATCTGTTGATCAGTTCCTCAAACTTTCTTTTTCCTGGAGAGGAATTTCACGTGAATAACAGTTATATTCCGAGCTCCTTAGCTTACGAAGTCAACAGGTACCTTTACTGTGTACTTATTCAGTATATTCCACTTATTTCAGCTTCCCTACCTCCGTATTACCTTGTACTTAGTACTCTATCTATTTCTATTAAATTTGTGACTTTTCAAGGAAAGGTCCATTCGTTCAAAGCAAAACGCAATATAATATTAGGTCGTTCCGAAATTAATGTCGTTTTTTTTTCAAATGAACGCCACATATCGTGGAACCAAGCTTTTC